TCCTTAAATATGTTTTGTAGATATACATATTTAAGTAAATAGGTATATGTATTCTATAACGAATGAATAATGAATACAATTCTAGAACGAATTAATTCTTAGTAAGAACTGTATTTAAATGAACGAAGTATTTAAGAAATATTTCTCGGTCCTCTTTAGTCAGGCTTTATATCTTCGTTTGTATAAATATCTTATACTCATACTGGGTTATTAAAACAAGTCTCTGACCCTGCAGAACAAAGATTATCCTTCGTCATCGCTTTTTATATGTTGCAGAAGATTGAAAAAATATCTTCAAGAAGACATTATCTTGCACATATAAACGCGTTTTAAGTAATAATATCTGCAATTGCTTGGGAGCAAATGACGTCGATGGTCACCCAGGGCATAGAAAAAATAGGTAATTCGCGTAATGTATGGAAATTTATTTGCGGGAGTATGACTTGAGTAAAAAAACAAGTGTGACGCGTAATTTGTAACGGTAACGTACTAGTTTGTACGAAGATAAATGTAATTATTCGACTACCTCTTTAAGGAAAAAAAAACGAGTTTTTCAATATGTTGGGCTCGCAAAACTTACTTTGCAAATACAGTGTTTATTGTTTCAAATTGAAAATTGAAATTCGTGAACCGTATTTGTAAATTTATTTTATTTTTGTATCGAGGTATTTAAATTATTGATAAAATCTAGTATACAAATTGGTTTGTATTTATGGAAATTGAAGAATATTTATGTAAATTCGTTATACAAATGCTTCTATATGAATTTATTAAATCAAATATTATTTTTTCAACCATAAATTGACTTCATAAATCTTATTTCCTTGCATTTCTTTTGTGCTTTGAAGATTCTTGTAAGCTATCAATACATAAAGGTCTGCCATCCAGTTATGTAAGTGTTTCATTTTGCAAGAGTTTTATCAAGTGTTACGAGATACAAGTTTTAGTTAACTCGGGCTGCGTTAAGTAAGATACGAGGATGAGGGAGATAGTGTTCAGTAAAATACAAAACAAACTTAGTTTTCTTATTTGTCTTAGAACGTCACATACCAAGCATTTTAATGAAACAATTCATTGACATACAGACTGACCGGATGAATGAAAAAGGTTAACTGGCGTTGGAATATATCTATCTTTTCTGATACAGAATGATTCATAAGTATAAAAGAAATGCTCACGCAAATTTACATTATCATAGACAAATTTTAAAGAAATTAGCATTAAGTAAAATTTCACTTACTCTACTAATGATTTTCATAACTTAAAAGCAAAATGAAACAATATTACGTTTAATTGAATATTTTTAGGCTTTTTATACTTATACAATATTTTTTCATAAATCTTTACTAATCTGTATGATAAACAACAACATTTTTACTAAAGCAATACATATCATTAAAATTAAATTGCAAGTCCGAGCCCACTGTGTTACGTGTTCATTTCCTTTATCCACTATTAATTCAACAGTTATGCATTCTAATGCTACACATGTTTATGTAATATTTACATTTTCCGTAATGTGCGAATTTATCCTAAAAATATTGTTTCACGTCTGGTAACGCTAGAACTACCAAACGTAATAAATGATCTCAATAATAAATTAAAAAATTCGTTTACTCATTTACATACACAGTAAAATAGAAATCAATCAATTATCAACAAATGTATAATTGTAATTCGTACAACAGAACGCAGGAAGCCGAACAACTTGACGCCTCGGTAGTTGCAGCGTTAATCTTTTAGTCGTTAATTTATGAGTGAAATCAATGTGAGTGTTCCATTTGATTGATCTCGTGTATTATGAAATACAGTGTAACATCGATCATTTGTGCCGGTATTAGAGTAATATGCCTGAATAATCAATTGACTTGGTTAAGCGAACAATGGTTAATTGTGCAAACAAGTATTGTGGTCATGATTAATCGGTCTTTCATATTCTTCATTCCCCGCAATCTTCAGTTCTTTCTAGCTTTAGATTCATACACAAAATTATTTTTCTTTGTGAACGAATATCTTAAAAATATTATTACCTCCGATATAACGAATAAAAGATTCACATCATTCCGTGTTCTGAGGTTAACAGATTTGCTAGAAAAATTAAATTTCGAATTTCAAAGAATATACTTTTACGATTTTTATAAAAAGCTAAAAGATATCGATCATTTTGAATGCTCGGCAGTTTTATCGTTAATACTATTTCTACCGAAGGGGTGAAAAAACACCTTTTAAATTTTTAACTTAAAATTATTTTCCAAGTTTAGTTGTATATTCTGAATTGACTTTTCGATTTTTCCAATAACGATTATAAAATTATCTGCAGAAAATGTGCAAAATTCAATTAAGGAAACATGATTAAACTGGGAAAATAATTTGAAGTTAAAATTTCAAAAGGTGTCTTTTGATACCTTCGGTAGAAATAATGTTAAATGAGGAGTAACATCGAAATAAAGGGAAATGATGGCAGGGTTGGACAGGTGTGATCTAGGTATATAACGGTAACCTGCGGTTTAATATTGGCCACAAAAGCAACTGTGGCTACCGAAGTTACAATCTATAGAAAGATGAAAGTTTTATTTACGAGCGCGCTAACGATATCGACGTGAATTGAAATTGCAAACCGTCAGGATATGTAAGTTGCTAGTCGGAAGAACAATTGGGTCGCGAACGTCGCGTCTTAGAGGCGCCGAAAGTGTTTCGATATTTTTCTATAGGATCCACGATATGGACAGCAGCCAAATGAAGTTGGGACCTCCTATATAAAACTGCTGATTACATCTCGTTACATTCACAGGATAATATTTATTCGAGAAGTAAAGTTATTTAAATTTAATTTCAATTTTATTATAATATTGAATTTTTGTGCTACCTTTGGACTTCACGAGTTTTCAATTATTTTTCAAAATTGATTTTATCCCATTCGTATCCAGATAAAATTGGCACTGTCAATTCAACTTTGATAAAAATCAAAATGCACTGCTACATTGTAATCTAATTACCAAATATTTTATGTTCTTCATACTACCTATATCTTATCAATATTTGTTTAACTGCAAGATTAACGAAAAAGCAACTCGGGTGAAATATTTTTATAATAAATGTCACGCAAAAGTTACCGGGATAGACCAATTCTAAGTTACAAGTAGACTGCGGAAGTTCATGCATTTATGGCGTATAAAATTTGTCGAAGTATTGATAAAATTTTATTAACGTTCTGCAATTTGACTTTACTCTTAATTCATAGAAGCCATTTCCGAAGGAAATCGAATTTTATTATTTTTAAATTTCTTCCGAAAAGTATATTTATAAAAACTTTGACGGTTTTCGATACTGTTATTCTATGCATTACACGCCTAATATATAAAACAAATATTAGTTATATAATTTATGTAAGAAATTCATCGTTTTATAGAATATTTAGTTACTTCATAGGTGAAAAAGTTTAGCATACAAATGATAATATCAATAACGTTGTTTTTAATCAACGGTAATAAAAATATTTTTCTTTCGATCGGTGCAAATGGTATTATGAGATAACATGATACACGCATAGAAGATAAACAGTGATTGAGCGAGAGAGCAAAGTTTCTTTTATCAACGATATCTCGTTGCTGCTTGTACTGCACTTTCACCGATTGCGTTTAACGATACGTAACAACCACGTTTACGTAAATCTGATCACAGCCTATTCAAGCTTTCACCTAAGGTTAGTTCTATTTAATAGTCGCGTGCTTTTTCCTGGTTGCATTCCAGTAACCTGCTTTCCTCTGGTTTTTCAGCAGTGGACCACACATAAACACGGTTATCTATCGTGCAAGGAGTGGTTCGCGTTTCTTTGATATGACTGCTCGAACGATAATCTTAACGTATACGTAACAATGCAATCATATCTGCCTGCAACATAACTTTTTGATGAAATTGGTTGCGTTACAGGTTGAATGTGTATTTTCATTCAAAGTAAATTGTGGATGTTATGTATACAGTTCTCTAGACTGCAGTGTTGTTAAAAATTTGATAAACCTTCAGAAGTTTTTCGTTCTAAGAAGATTCAATTTTTAATGAAGTGTTCATGTTCCTCTTCCATTCGTTGTAGACTAAAGTGTAAGAATTTCAATTATTTAGCAATTCAATTATCTGCTTGCAGCTTTCGATTCTAAACAGGAAATATCCGACCGAAATTGGAGACATTTGACCTCAAAGGGTTAATCCTTAGACCTATCAATCACTTTACGCCTGTTAGGTTACCGTACGTACAGTTATGCTGTGGATAGCAAGTTAACGATATTAGGACCGCTTACAACTACAAATTTCATCGTATCTGGGTTACTGTGCCTTCAAAACGTCTTTTGATGAATCGAATGCAGACAGAAACACGTGAAGACATTCTCCATAATAAGATAATAATAATCCGACTAAAAATATCACTATTATTCGAAATTGTTTTAATGAGTCATTCAAAGACTTCTATGCTAATCGACGACAGTCATTTTAAATAATTCTTTCAAAAACAGTTAAATAACTCGTGTAACGCGAAAGATTTGTACGAATGCATTTACAGCACTAAAGCACCAGTCCAACACCTACCCAATACAGTACAACATATCTACACAATCCCAGCGAATTTTTCTACTTCTCGTTAACCACTTTAGCAAATGACCGTCCCAACTTCACTTACTGAATCCACGGGCATGAACTCCTTCGCGTCTCGTGCAATCCTCGAAATTAATCAATCCACAAGTCCCCGAGCAGGTATCTGAGCAAACAAAGAAAAGAAAAGAAAAGAAAAGAAAAGAAAGGCATACAGAGGAATGAAAGAAAAGAATAATACCGCAGCGAAATCTCCGCCAAGGGGTTGCTGCAGCAACTCCAGTGGTGGCGTGTTCGAAAGATTAAAGACGCTCGTTGCATTACACGTCACGTAATCGCCGAGAGGCCTTGCGAGCCACTACGCACCCATCGTCCACTATTCAGTTCTGACACGTCTTTTTTAAAAATTGTTCCAGCGTGTCCGGGGGAGCAACGGAAGCTTCTTGTCCTGCTGAACCCGAAATCGGGGCCGGGTAAGGGTCGCGAGGCCTTCCAGAAGAGGATCCACCCGATCCTGTCGGAAGCGGAGAGGCCTTACGAGGTCCACATAACGAAATGCTCCAATTACGCCCGCGAGTTCGTCCGCACCAGGGACATTTATCAATGGAGCGGGCTACTGATGGTCGGCGGCGACGGTATCGTGTTCGAAGTAGTGAATGGGCTTTTTCAAAGGTCCGATTGGGAGAAAGCCCTCAGGGAATTGCCTCTTGGCGTGATACCGTGCGGCTCTGGGAACGGCTTAGCGAAATCCATCGCATACGCTAAACAGTAAGTTCCGTTTAACCTTAATACCTAGCCGAGGCTTTACTTCTTTCTCTTCCTCCCTTTTGCAACCCTCTGGAGCTACATTACTTTTTAATTAAGTGTTGAAGTGGGTGCCTGTTACTGCAACGCGAAAGTTAGATCATTGCTGAAGTGTCATTTGTGGTTTGGAATTGGTATTCATATCGCGATGGATTTAGCTTACTTACTGTTCAATTTCATAATGAAACTGTTTTATTTTATATTTTAACAGTGTTTCACGATATATTTGTTAGATGTACAAATAGTCTTGATTTCTATTTCTTTGTGGGTATTTTATCGATTTTTTTGAGTTTCAATTTATTTTTAAAGCTATGTTTAATAGAAGAATATTGCAGGTTCTAACAGTTTGATTTTAAAACTCTAAATACTGTGTATAATAATTCTATTGGAAGAAATATTCGCCATTCTTTGTGCTCTAGTCAGAATAATACTTGTTCGTTGCATCGAATTCCATCGTGGTGCAAGAGGTTAATTGTACAAATATGAACAGTGTAACGTCGTTTAAGAGTCATCATCATTGCCAATTTATCATATGTATTGATATAAATTTCGTGATTGACAGCTCGTAATTCCCAAGCGCGGCTTTTGCCGCTTACGATGCGAATATCAGTTCAATTGTTTAGTCAACGATTAACGCGATGGAAATGCACATGCATTTCTTCCGTTCCATAGAAACAAAAGTACGATGTTAAAAAAATATTCAATTTACAACAGTGATATTTTGTAGATAATGCATATACTTACAGAATATTTCAATAGTTCTTTAAGAAGACAGAGTCATTCTTTATGAAATCAGTCAAAATTAATAAAAACCTTCAATACTATGTTGTGCTTAATTTTGATTTTCCGTTCACTAATAATTGTTGGAAAGGGAAAGGACAAATAATTTAATCCTTTGAACTCTGTAGGCTCCAATATTGCACCAGTTATAATATCAAATATTTTAACGAATCAAAGAAACGACCCTTAAAATTATTAGATTTTCCACACATCCAAATTTTGTACTGAGAAGGAAAATAAAAGATCGAAGGAATGTTATAGCATTATTCATTTTCACTAGAAGTGCCATAAAACTTAATTGCAGTTGCTGATAAATTACAAAACCATCTGGAGTGCTAAGGGTTAAATGTACCGCGCACTACCAGGATTACGAAATAAATACTAAAATATTATTAAAAATATTGTTTATTTGTGCTTCTAATAAGAGTAACAAATTTTATTGATATAAAAAGTAAAATAAATAAATGAAAAATAAATTACACGATACTGGCGTTTATTTTACATAATAAATAAAGTGACCATTCGTATTCATTTTTAAACTGCCGTCCGAATTGAAATATTTCAAACTATTTCTTACGATAAGTAATCCGAAGTTAAATACTTATTTCTGAAATGTTATTTATTCGAAAAGTTAGTTCGGTTACAATCGAGCTGTTCTAGCTGAAATTATAACTAACACGCGTTTCAGCCTGAACACTGCCGACCGCCTGAATTTCATTGACTTAGAGTTATGATACGTAGTTCGACTGCGCGCGCTGTAAATTTTCCAGTCAACAAACTCCTGCGATCGTCGGGGCGACCAGTTTAACGGTGGCGGTATGTCTGCGGCATAATTCCATGTTACTAACGAGTTATCGCCAGCTTGGTCAACCGCTATAAACTGACAATAAATCGACCCAATCGACCCGATACCAAAGCCAACCGGAGTACTCGAAACTCTAACCGAACGAAACCTCGTTCCATCGATACCGATTGTGTGCCAGCTACTTAATTATACGTGTAATGTCGTTAGTAATTTGATCATTATCTTCGGATCGTTCGAACCAATCGGATGAAGTCACTTGTTTCTGCAATACATGGGTACATGGCTACCAAGAACTAGATTTTGAATGATTAGTGAAACCATTTTGTATCTGGTTCTCAATTTTTTAACATTTTTTAAAATAAATAAGTTTTTGTTTATTTTGAAAGGTTCTACTTATTTTATAATTGTGGTTTGGAATAATGATAACTATTTCGAATTTTGTATTCGAAGTGATATCGCGTACATTTATTTGAATTTAGTGTATTAACATGCTTTTAACAAGGATGGAATAAATAATTGCAATTTATGAACGAAAATCTCGCGGATGTTAATACATACGATTTTAAGTAACGTTCGTTGTAAATTAATCACTCTTGGCCACGGTTAAATCACAGAGTTTATGATTCATCCGTATTAAAAGTACATGAATTACTGTTCACAACTGTGACTGTGCATTTGCGCAAAATTTAGAGGACGGAGACAACAGGAAGTTTCATTATCTCATCTCCTATCCACTAATAATAATCGCCATTAATTTATCGATCAGTGCGTAACAAGTGCAGAAGAGTAAGGGTCGTTCTGCATGCACTTCTATGCAGAAATCAAAGCAGCAAACATACGCAAGAATAACTTTTATCCGACGCTTACTTTCAACATTATATACAGTTGAATTTGCTTCACCAAAACTTTTATAAATTCTCTGATTCTTTTTTTAATAATATATTTTTTATATTCTTACAGATATTATGTTAGTAACTATTAAATTAACCATGATAATAATTGTTAATGAAAAATTGGGACCTTATATACATCACAATGACAATGAATATTTTATTAAGCATAATATCCTTTTTTTCTTCTAAGAAGAAACGCAAAAGTATGTAAAATACTAGAGTCAAATTTTTTGTTCCTTCTTTCTCAGGAAAATAGTATAGTAATTATAATTCAAACATCACTTTTTATTCAATGTTATATAAAGAAACGCATTAAAAATTAAAATGAACACTCGTTACTCGATACACAACATTGTAAGCGACGTTTAAATTTAATGTGTATATGATCTGAAATGATTTTTAATGTTGCCGACACAGACGAAAAGTTTTAAATAAAGTTTATGCAATTTGCATAAAAAAGTTGTATGAAATTATAACGTTTGGCTCAGGGATACATGTCACAGTTTTTTCAAGATTTTGTGATTATTCTTCTTATCTGATAGTAATTATATAATTTGATTTGTACCACGCTTATCTAACATTCAACGATTTCTAGATACTCCACTTTGAGTTAACAAAAATTTTGTCGAGTAAAATTATTGAATATATTTATAAAAACTATTATGAGTATTATAAATAAAAACCTTATCGTAATAGTATTAATAAACTGATCAAATTATTAATATTTCATGAACGCAAAGTCATGTTTAAATTTAAGCTTTCGAAGTATCCATAATAAATGGAGCTTCTATATTACCACCTGGTCTACTTTTAATTATATTATCTTTCATATCTCGTGTTATGAAATGGTATAGAGGATACAAGTTCTCTTTTTTACCATTTTACTCTTAAAGTTTTTTAATCGGTATTAATACGATACTTCCTGTTGTCACATTTATATTGTTTTTCCTTATTGCAAGTGTTTGTAGATGAAGAACTTTACGATTTCGAAAGCTTTTCTGATACTTCAAACCATCGACCTTTAAATGTTACATCACTGCAACGCTTAAGAATAATATTATAGTTTTCAGTATGCGTATGATATAATGAATTCGATTATACGGTATCAGACTCGGTTGGAAAACTTTCCGTTTTCGTGGTTTTATAAAATCTGCTTAACGTGTTTCTTAAGCAATCGCGTGGGTTTTTTCGCTGGTGGTTGCCTTCTGTTCACGACTGGAACTTGCGAAAAATGTTCGCAGTTTTGAAAAGTTTCCGTCGTAAAAATGGTAAATGAGAGTGGATACCGTAAATGTCCGAGACAGGGTATCGATTTCTCGTTCGTATACAGGCTGTCCCTACATTATCATGACCGTTTTACTTTTATTGTAGTTGAAGAAAGGCACGCATTATTTCTATGACATTCATTTGCGGCGATAGGTAAGCATAAAGAAAGTGATTTAAGCAGTAAAAGTTTCCTTTCAACGCAATGTTCTGACCTTTCACACTTCAAAAACTTTTGCTGCTCGAATTGCAACTGCTTATTATGATTTAACACGTTCGCTATCAGCATTTGTTTCGGTGACGATATTCTCAATTGTAATATTCTATTCGACTCAACAAATCTTCTAAACAAAATATTGAAAAAATAAAACTGAAACATTGAGTTCCTAAATATAATACTGTATCTTATAACTTTAAATAACAACATCTATAGAATTAATTTCATTTTGTTTGTAAAAAATACTGGATTGAAGTTGTTGCAAATATGCGACGTTGATTGCGAACTTGTTAATTGACTATCGAAGATAAAGTTGAGAGGAAAAACGATTGTACGAATAATTATTCGGATGGTTAATATTCAAGTTACTTAAATGATCCGCTTTTTATTAGATATTGTAATATATTGTAATTTCATAAAAATTTTATGTAAAGTGAGTTAATTTAATTGTATTTATCACTTGAACTTATAAATGTCTCGTGACCATAACACGTTGCCCTATCACGTTGCTTTATCTCATCATTAAAAAACAACAGACAAAACGATAGATAAAGCCACCAAAAAGTACAGTTCACATTTAAACCGCATTTATTTATATTTGATGTATGTACATGGAATTTACAAACGAAACGATTGTTAATATGATGTCAACTTTTACTTCGATTCGATTTCTTCGTGAGGGATTGAAGATAACGTTAATCGGAGTATCAAGTGGATTAGCAGAATTTTAATAATACAAGCTTCACCTTGCTGCGATATCGAAAGATACTCCGTTGTAAATACATTTGGAGACTGTGAAGCTGATACGGCGTAGTTAGAAATGAAATAAGAAATAACAAGTGCTTTTTAATTTCAATGCAGTTGAATAAAACATTCTGCGTATGTTAGAACGAATTTTCAATCTTTTCAATGATACGATTCTATATCAGTTTTTTATCTGTTAGTTTCATTTGCCGAACTATTGGCGAAATATTTACATCATCACACTTTCAGATAGTTAAATAATGTGATTCGAGTAAATATGTAAAATCGGTATCTAATGAAAACAGGAAATTCCAGAAACAACAAAATAAAAATAGAATCAAGGAAAACGTGTACATTTATTGTCTAGGGGGGGAAATTAAACTGTATATGTAATATGTAACCGCTAATGGTAATACCTTTACACCAGAGAAAAAGCAAGTGGGATGTCATCAATAATCAAATAGTCGAGAAAATTACAGACTCACTAACGATAACTGCATTTGCGTCATTGAATAAATTGCATTATATTTCTTGCACGAGCATCAGTCCGTTTACATTATCCATCCTATATATAGTGTATACAAGGCGTTCACGGATTTGCTAGTCAACATTTTTCTAGTTGCTTGGAGGTATCCTTACAGGTATGTAAGGACAAAACGAAAAAAGGAAATTAATGCTACTGTTTGTAAGCAACGCAATGATGCATGTATATTAGCTACGTTTACACTGCCTTTTTAGAAACCATGGTAATTTACAATTCTT